GGGTACAACACTCTCCACCACCACCAGTTCTCAAAACTTTTAGATTTTGACCACTTTGCCTTTCGACCATGGATTTAAACTTGACAAATACCTCGATCACTTCACTTTTCTTCTTGATCAGATGAGTCCATAATTTTCGACTGAAATCATCTATGAATATAACAAAGTATTTGTTACCTCCCATCGAATCCACCTGGATTGGTCCATATACATCAGAGTATATGACTTCAAGGATCACCTTCGACTTGTTTCCTGCATCCTTGCTGAAGTTGTTTCTGTGTTGCTTCGATTGTACACATTCCGCACACACCTCATTTGGAATGTCGATTTATGGTAATTCTGAAACCATATTTCTTCTCTTCAAATCTTTGATCTCTTTGAAATTGAGATGGCCAAGTCGATAATGCCATATCCAATAATCTCTGCTAGTTGCACTTGCAAGGCATTTGTGCTTGATCACATCAAATTCAATCTTGAAGGTTCTATTATGAGACATTGGACCCTTCAAGATTAACCTTCCTCTTGTGTCGAAGACTCTCATTATCTTTTCTTCAGTATACACTTGATAATTCTTTTTGACCAACTGCCCTATGCTTAACAAGTTGCTCTTCATGCCTCGTGATCAAAACATCACCAATACCTTCAGTTGTTAGAGTACTATCATTTGAAAATTTTATCATGTTCTTTATTGAGGGTTTTAGGTTGACAAACAAATATTTCCTTCCAGACATGTGTGATGAGCATCCTGAATCCAAGTATCATTGGTCCTTGAATCTTTCTTCATCTTTTGTTGTAACCATCAGCGTCATCTCTTCTTCTTCATACTTTGCGAATTTTGCATCACTTTCTTGATTCTTTCTCTTTTCTGGACAATCACTAAAATAATTATCATACTTATGAAAATTGTAACATTAAATGTGACTCTTGTCAGGCTTTCGACCACCACCTCTTCTGATACCTCAAACACCACCTCTTTGGTTGCCTTGGTAATAGGGTCTTCTTTGATTCAACACAATTCCTTCGTGTTGGTTTCCTCTGCCCATCGAATTGTTGTAGCCACCTCTCCCTTTGTCGAACCACTTTCCTTTGCCTTTACTTTCTTTTGATAATTGTGTTTGCAAAGCCACATCACTCTTTGACTTGCCTGCAGTTCTTTCAGCCATTCGCTGTTCATGAGATTTAAGCGTCCCTCGAAGCTCTTCTTTTGTTAATTTTGACAAATCCTTTGATTCTTCTATGGCTACCACCATGTGGTCGAACTTAAGAGCCAAAGACCTCAAGATCTTTGAAACAACAACTCTTGTTGTTAACGCTTCTCCACATACATTGATTTGATTCACTAGTTTCGTAACCCTAGTGAAGAAATCAGATATGCTCTCGCTATCTTCCATCTGAAGTAATTCATACGTTCTTTTGTGAGCTTGTAACCTCGCCTCTTTCTCCTTTTATGCACCTTTAAAAGACTTCTCAAGAATCTCTCAAGCTTCTTTTGCAGATTCTGAATCACTCACTTTTTCAAAAAAAATTGGACTCAAACATTAATGAGTTATAAAGAGTGCTTTATAACTCTTCTTCTCTGATTCTATGTGTTCTTTATTTTCTTCTTCTGAAGCGTCTTCTCCAAGCTCTTCTAATCCATCCTTTACAAGATCCTAAAGACCTTGACACCTAAATATAACCTTCATCTATTTGCACCAATTCTCATAGTTATCTATTTTAAGAATTATAAGACTTGTTGGATAGTTCTCATTCCCATAATTCACCGCCATCGTGATTTCTTCTTCTTTCTTTGAATCGGTCAACCGGAGTTCTGATACCAGATGTTAGAAATCCACTAAAACCTATGATGAATTTCTATCAATCTTGATGAACAAGATTGTTATCACCTCACAATAACGATGAAAAGAAGAAAGAAATTTAAAGAAGAAAAAGATTAGGGTTTCTGCAGAGTAACTCTCTGCCCACAAACTGCGGAAAAACTTTCTTATTCACATGCAACTGCAAATACTGTGAATGAATGATTTCATTGCAAAAATATGGGTTACTCCCTCTATTCATAATGAGCTTGCTTTCTCTCTGAGCCAAAAAATTACCCAAAACTATAACAACCCAAAATACCTATTTTGGATCTAAATCAAATCTGTGTGCAGCAATCTGCTTACAACTATTCGATACACCTTGTGTTCGAGTAACAACCTACTTCGACACAAGGAATTACACTTTCAACAATTAAAATGTGCGATTAAATGGCTAAGTGGAGTAAAGGAATATTTGACTTTAATGAGAGTAATTGGTTTTTAAAATTTGAGTATTGTTATTCTAATGGGAATTGGTTTTGTAGTTTTTCTAAGCTTGTTGGCATTTGCAACTCGTTTGTGGCACACCTTTGGGGTTGTTGGCGCAACAATTAGGGGAGGGTCAACCAAGAAGCATTTTTATTTTCGGGACTTTCAGTTTGAGCAACACATATTTGTGGGAGACACACCATTTGTCCATATAAAATCTTAAGGTGAATGAGTTCTTTCACTTATAAATATTTAAGTCAGCACATTCCTATCCAATGTGGGACTATTTTCCTACTTACTCACACTTGCATTATTATTGTAACACTCTCTCTCAAGTATGAGTCTAAAATGCTTCCCTTAAGACACTTGTATCACCGTTGACACCTTGCAACATGACACTTCTTCTTGGATATTGACACCTTGCAACAAGACACCTCTTCTTGGGCATTTCGATACAATAAGTTGGTCCCTTTCTCAAAATTAAAGGTTCGGATACCATTTGTTAGTGCGTGAGACACTTTTAGTGAGGAGAAAAAGAGAGAATAATAAAGAAATAAGAATTATATTATTCTTTAATTGTACAAATAATGATACAAACTACTACTATTTATATATAACCCTAATTGGGCTTGGACTTACCAACTTGGATTGTATTTGATATTATATCTAATATCTGAACATATCTAACTTAGATTATATTTTATATTATATATAATATCTCAACAAAAATGTGTTAGAAGGGCTTAAAATTGCGATTTTGAAAGACTATAACAAGATAAAGGTGAATGTGGATTCTCTTAAAGTTTGCCAAGCTTTAAAAGTGGATCTAGTACATAATAGTGTTGACAGGAATTTGATTATGCAAATTAAACACTTGTTGAGAATGTTTGAGCTGGTGGATATCAAGAATATCTATAGAAAAATCAATAGATGTGCCGATGAGTTAGTAAAAATGGACAAGAAATTCCAAAGGAATCTTAATATTTTTGAGTTTGTTCCAAATTCTGTTTGTAGAATCTTCAAGAAAGATGCTAGGGGCTTATCATCCTTCACAAGGGTGATTTTGTAGTTTTTTTTTGTTTCTTGGGTTACGGCTCTCTTTCTTTTCAAAAAAAAAAATTTAATTAATCATTATTACAAATAAATTGAAATGTTGGCTATTTTTATTTTTAAATAGAAGGTGTCAGTTTTATTATTTATTATAAATCTTTGGAGGGAAATTTTAGTGTTTAGTATAGATATATAAATAGATAAATATATTTTATATTTTTAGAAACAAAAAATTGTAAAAATAAATAAAACGATCAAAATTCTTATTTTGATAAACAAACCCTCCCTCCCTCCAATCGTTTCAGAAGCAAATATTTGTCTAACAAAATTAATCTCTTTTTTCTCACAAAGGAAACCCTAACAACGAAGAAACCGAGGTAATGAGCGTAAGTCACAATCTGGAAACCCTAACGAAGAAACCTTCATTTCAACTCAACTCTGTTTCTGTTGAATCCGTAGGTAAAGCTCTCTAAGCTACTTTTTCTTCCTCAACTCTTGTCTCATTTCATATTCAATTTTGTTTCTCTTTGCTTTTGAAATGGATAATCGTTGAATGCTGACTTTCTTCTTATTCCATACGGTGCCATTATTTAATGTTGCTTGCTCCTGAAACTAAATTTGTAGTTCTTACAACTTGACGTCATATTCATGTACAGTTTCAGCATGATTTTTATGATTTTTTTTAGATATTGACATTGCTCAATGGTGTCTTAAGCTTGTCTAAGCATCTAGGCATTCCGATGTTTTAGGAATAAATTGAAATTTGATAGAATTTAGAAGGTTGAAGTATTGCGTTGCTTGCTAACATGTGTGTGTGGTGTTGTTAGGAGTTGTTGCATTGAAGTAACAATCTTCTTCTTTTTGTCACTTTTCTTTTGGGTTGAATGAATCCATAAGTGTGGAGTTTGAGAGTTACTATGAGACATGTGAATAAATCCTTTGATGCGTTGCTATTGCAAGATTTCTTTGGCTTTATTTATTTGTTTTTGCTTGATACTCTGCTAGCTATTGCCTAAGCCGAACAACTAAATTGAAAATGGGATTTCGAATTCAATGGACTGGATTCACTTTTTATTAAAGCAATTGTGTTTTTGTTTGTTTCAGAACATAGTGAATGATGTTGCTTCTAGTCCACCCCATTCTGTGAAATGTATTTAAACGCTTTTAGATAGATTTATGTTGCAACAACTTCGTGAGAACACAAGCAATCCAAATGTTTTGCGCCACCTATCTAATGGAAAAGCATGGAAACATTTCGATGAATTTTATCCCGATTATGCTAGTGTCCCAAGAAGTGTAAGATTGGGTTTATGTACTTATGGGTTTACACCTTACGCTCAAGCCTCTAGCTCTCCATATTCATGCTAGCCGATAATAGTCACACCCTACAATCTCTCTCTCGAAATGTGCATGACCAAGCCATACATGTTTTTGACTTGTCTTGTACCTGAACCGTCCAACCCGAAAGATAAAATAGATGTCTACTTGCAACCTTTGATTGATGATTTGCAGCGCTTGTGGAGAGATGGCATCGTGACATATGATATCTCTATGCAACAGAACTTTATAACGAGAGTGCATTTAATGTGGACAATCAGTGATTTTCCAGCATATGGTATGTTGTCTGGATGAGAGACACAAGGTAAATTAGCATGCCCTTATTGCATGGACAATACAAATGCTTTCACCTTACAATATGGTGAAATTTTTTCTTGGTTTGATTGTCATCATCGATTTTTACCAATAGATCATCCGCTTAGAAGAAGTAAAAAGAGATTTACAAAAAACAAGATTCAGAAAAAAAGATCACCTTACATGTTTACCGGCCATGATGTCTGGGAAGCTGTTTGTGATTTTCCAAAAGTCACTCATATTGCCTGGGCCACCAAATTTCCAGGATATGGAAAATAACATAATTGGACCAAAAGAAGTATATTTTGGGATCTTCCATACTGGAAGAACAACTTGGTATGGCACAACCTTGATGTGATGCACATAGAGAAGAATATATTTGATAATGTGTTTAACACTGTCATGAATGTTGCTGGAAAAACAAAGGACGATGAAAAGGCAAGAACAGATTTATCTCTTATCTGTTTATGTGGGGATTTAGAGATGCATCCTCTACCTAATAGAGAGATGGCTAAGCCAAAGGCAAAATTTTCTTTCACATCCGAATAGGCAAAGTTAGTCTGTAAATGGATTCAAGAACTAAAAATGCCTGATGGCTTATGCCTCAAATCTTTCCAGGTGTGCTGATGTCACCAAGGGTAGGATGAAGGGGATGAAAAGCCATGATTGTCACGTATTCGTGGAGTGTGCTGATGTCACCAAGGGTAGGATGAAGGGGATGAAAAGCCATGATTGTCACGTATTCGTGGAGTGTTTACTTCCAATTGCTTTTTGTTCTTTGCTTCCTGAGATGTGGAAGCCTCTAACCGAATTAAGTCATTTTTTCAAAGACTTGTGTTGTAATACTTTAAAGTTGGAAGACCTTGTTAGGTTGGAACAAAACATTCCCATCATCATATGCAAGCTAGAAAGAATTTTTCCACCAGGTTTTTTTGACTCGATGGAACATCTCCCGATTCACCTATCTAATGAAGCAATCCTTGGTGGTCGTGTATAATATTGTTGGATGTGTCCATTTGAAAGGTAAATGGTGTGCAATTTTTGTAATTACTTTAATGAAAAAACATCTTTTAATCGTTTCTCGTGTAGATTGATGGGAGACTCCAAGCTTTCAGTGAAAAATAAATCCAAGGTTGAAGGTTTAATATGCACTGACTACTTGTATCGTGAAACTACTTATTTTTGCTCTCACTTTTTCAAGACCTTTAGCTTGTTGCCAAGTACAAGTTTAAGGAACGATCCTCGATCGGATCATGAGAATGTCCAACCAACACTTCAATTTTTAGCAAATGTGGTCGTCCTAGTGGAAAGCCTTGAAACTATTGGGTGCTTGATAAGGAATGGAAATCTGCTCACACGCATGTCCTAATCAATTGTGGTGAGGTTAAACCGTATCTCGAGTAAGTACATTTTGTAAAACAATTGCTTTGTTTTCAGTCCATTGTGTATATATATACTCATCAATTTTCTGGTCGGTGTCAGATCGTTCCTGCAATATCATTGTGTCAAAGAGGAAGATGCTTCTAGTCTTATACACGAGCAATTTCCTTCATGGCTAATGGAATATGTAAGTGTATTTCTCACTATTGATGTAGTTTGCCAATAAACTGTCTCTAATGTTAGATGTATATATTTTTTAGGTGAATGATGAGAGAAATGGAACAAATAGTCCATATGTGAAGGCATTAGCTCTCGGTCCTAATTCTAAGGCAACATCATGGCATATGTACTTTGTTAATGGGTACAAGTTTCACACTCAAGATTGGCGTCGTGGTAAAAAAACTACTAATTGTGGGGTACATGTTAAAGGTCTTAAAAATGGAGGAGAAAATGATTTTTACGGCATCATCCAACGTATCCTTCAATTGGAATACCATGGCCTTAGCAACAAGATTGCCCTATTTTATTGTGATTGGTTTGATCCAACAAATAATAGTGGCACAAGAGTTAATAATGAATACAATATTGTTGACATTAAGATGAATAAACGATATTGTCAATATGACCCGTTCATTCTTTCACAAGAAGCAAAACAAGTGTATTATGTCTCTTATCCAGAAATATGTAGAAACATGCATGGATGGTGTGCAACAATCACCACAAAACCAATGAGTTATGTGAAGATAGACAACATCGGGGATGAAATGTCTTATCAATCTATTGAAATGTCACCAATTGTACCTATTACAGAAGTTGAACAAATACGTGGTTTAGCCGATGTACGAATAATTTACGAGGTCGAGCCAGTAATAATGACAAATGATCCAATGACTCAAGATTGAGAGAACAATGATGTAAGTTAGTTGAAGTTTTAGTTTAACAATTATTATGATGTTGTTTTTGTTTATAAACAATCCTAAATTATGTCGTTTTAAAGTTAAACTTTGTTGGTAGCACTGTGTTGAGTATGAAATGAACTTCGAATTGGCATAATCACTTGCAGCCTTCCAGGTGACTATGGATTTGACCTTCTAGGAGTGAGTGTAGTATAGTTTGCTTGTCATTTTGGTAGGTTATCCATTTAGAAATTTTGTATATGTTTGATGAGTAGAAAGTGAGAAAAGGAAGAAAAAAATAGAGAAACTGTTGTTTTGTGGTTAAGAATGAGATTAAGGGTGTTGTTTATATAGGAAAATTGATGTGATTGGGTGGGAAATGACTTCAGTGATTGTATATCAGTTACTTTCTTTTTTTTTGGTTCACCTCATAGGTTAACTTTTAGTTCAGATTATTAGATCATGCTAAATATGCTTAACCGTCTTATGACTGAAATGACTTGTTAGATGCTAAACATGACTTTTGTGATTGAACTTATTAGATACTAAACATGGTTAACTTTTATGATTGGACTTACTAGATACTAAACATGGTTAACTTCGGTTCTAATTAGTTGTCTTGCAGATTCGACTCAACTCAACTAGTGATACTGTGGGGTGTGGTGAAGACGATATAAAAGCTGTTGCTGCGAGTATGCAAAGAGCTTTTGAAGATTGTTTCTACAGCAATTGCCATTTTCTGTTCTCAGCAAGTTAAGATAGATAAGAGATGAAATTACAAGTTGTGGTCATAGTAGGATGCATGTGATGGGAGTGCATGAACATGGAAAGCGGATCATGTGTCTGTAGGATGAGAAGCAGTTCTATTTATAAATAACCTGTAAGATCTTTTTTGATCTAGTACATGTGTGTGATCAAGGATTTCAATAGATGTTAACATATGTTTAAATGTGTGGTGTAATTAATATTCCTCCAATTGAGACATCCCTAACAATACTGCACACGTGAAGTTGGTTATTTTAAAGATTAAAACACATTTAGGTGAAACATTTGCATTGAAAATGATATAATCATGCAAATGAGACAGAGTGTGAGTTGGAGTGATTCCTTGGAGGAGACACAGGGCTAACATTTATGAAATAATGTCTGAATTCAAATCTGAATTAGTTGGCCTCATTGATATGTGATTAAGAATGAGATTCCTTATGTCGCTTAACATCTATAATACATATTGAGAAGATGGCAATGAAAATATCAGACTCAATTCAACATTTCAAATCAAGGCTTCTCTTTCTCTTCTCTTCAGCAAAACTAAATGGCAGCTTCTTCTCATTTCAACACAAAATCCAATTTCCATGGCCGCCCAATCAGCTTGCCATCTAGACTACACCCCCTCACTCTTAAATGCAATCAACATTTGGAAACCTTTCTAAGGTCTTCCAATGAAACCTCCTCCCCATCATTACTTTTCCACAAGATTGATGGCTTGCGAGATTTGATCGAGTGTGTTGAAAATTTGGTTCAGCTTCCACTAACAAAAGACGCACTTCTACATGATCAGCATCAAGAAAATTGTGTTAATATCCTCCTGGATGGATCCTTAAGGCTCTTAGACGTGTGTAGTATAGCGAAAGATGCTCTAATTCATACAAAAGAATGCACAAGAGAACTTCTATCCAATTATAAGAAGAAGAGGAGGCGGAACGGATGTCATTGCAGAGGCTAAGAAATTCTCAACATCTAGAAAGGTTGTGAAAAAGGCCATCTCCAAAGCCTTGACAAATTTGAAGGGAAATACCATAAGTTGCAACAAGTTGTGTACAAACAAAGACCATCAAACAGTGGCTTTGATTAAACTATTACAAGATGTTGAAGTGGCTACACTCTACATTTCAAAGAATACTGCAATTTATATCAGGGACCACACAATCAAAGCCAAACAGTTGGGGTTCCATTTCGGAGCTAATTCAACCCAAAAGAGTTGCTTGCTCACTATTGACAGATGAAAGTAAATTTGCCCAAGTGGATGTAGCATTGGAGTCTTTCCTATTTACCAAGACTAGAAAACTTGAAGGCATCAATGATCTGCAAAACCACTTGGAGAAAACTGAGTCATGCATTCAAGACCTTGAACAAGGGCTTGAGTTTCTGTTTAGACGTCTTATGAAAATCAGAGTCTCACTTCTTAATATCCTTAACCATTAGTAGAGGATTTATGAGGATTAGAATTTTGTAGTGATATAGATACACTTGTACATGGAAATTATATGTGTAAATGTATAGAAATAATAAAGCGATACTACTTTTTATTAATTTCCTATTGTAACATCTTCTTAGACCTGATAATTATTTAATAACTTTAGATCGATTAAATCATTACAATAGTTTTAGGATTTTCTTTGTTTTGGACTTGCATTGATATTTGATGGATGCTATTTTGCTTTTGTCAATTAAAATTGGTTGAACATATCTATTGTATAATAGAGTGGAGGTGTAACAGAGGACCCATCCATTATGTGTAACACTTACTATGCCAATAAGGACTCAATACCTTATATGATGCATATTCCAATACTCACATGCAAATGAAAATACAAACGAATGAATCATAAAAAGATTCAGCTGAACTGAATGATGCATACAAAAGGAGAAACTCACATGCAAGAGGAGAGAGGCCAAAAGCCTAGTCTCCCAAATAGGTTTTAGGTTTTGTAATCAAATTTATGAAAATAGTAATAATGAGAGAATGCTTCATTGTCTTAGTATATAACCATAAATGATGATTAAATGAAGAAGCTAGAAAAGAATCATGTCTAAACAGACGTAAATGCCTGCATGAGTGGAGGCAAGGAGTGCCTCCGCAGCTTTAGTCACATGACCGGTGTTGCAATGAGCGGCCAATCTATAGTAAAGGTGTGAGAAGTATAAAAAAGGGGAGTTTGAATTGAGTTTCATCAAATAAAATCTTTTCATTTGTAACAGAATCAAATAAATTCAGAACATAAAAATAAACGACACAGTTATTTTTATCCTAGTTCGATGTTAACTAAGTTATTTCAGTCCATCCCCTCAAGGATGATTTCGTCTTCAACAAAGACTTAATCCACTATAACCAAACTGATTACAGAACAACCCACAATAAGTCTAATCAACCTTATTGGCATCCCCAATAAGTCCGTCGATTCTTACTATAAATCCACTCAAGCCGCAACAGGAGTCTTCTTGAGCTCAGACCTTCACTCAGTCTCTCAAGATATCATTCAACAACAATTGAGTACTTTCAGTGTATTACAAATTTGCTTCTTGTAAACAAATTACACAAACTTTTCAGTATAATGAAGAACACCTAAGTGTTCTACTGCAAGATACGAGCAACAACTCATTGCTTATTTACAAAACTATACACAGATGATTTCTTTACAGAGTTTGCGCAACGCTTTGGTGTAGTTTTGTTGAGCTTGATTTGAACTGATAGATTTGTCGTTGTAGTGTAGTTTGTTACATTTCTTCAGTTTCCAAGTCTTCCTTTTATAGCTTGTAAAAGAGATCCGTTGAAAGGGTAGAAAGGTAAATCAGAAATCTAGTTGTTAGTTCTCAACGGTTATAATGAGAGTAGTCACTATCAAGTACAAAAGAACTGTCATTGCGCCACTCTAGAAGAGTAGAGGTCACAATCACTTTATGTACCTTTTGTACACTATCACACGTTAACCATTTTGAACTTTTCTTCTTTATCACAGAGGCTTCAAATATTTGAATGTTGAATGTTGAAGCTTGTTGTAGAAGAATCTTTCTTAAGCCTTAGAATCTAAGTCTTGGAGTCTTCAGAACTTGTCACATAGAACCCTGTCTTCAGAGTCTTCAGCACTTGGTTGTAAGAACTTGTTTTTCTTCAGATCATCAGAACTTGATCAGCAGAACCTCGTCTTCATAATCTTCAGAACTTGTAACACAGAAGTAAAGCTTTAGAAGGCCTCCAAAGCTAAACCACAAAGTCACGATCAAAACTTCTTGTACTAACGTTCCTTAGACACGTTGCAGAAGATTAGTTCAGAACCTTGACTTTAACGAAACATGTAACCACATATTTTCTTCCAGAGTGTATGTTCAGAATCTGATGACGTCACACGCCTTGTACCAGAATCAGAATATTATAACAACAGTTACACACTAGACGAAACCATTAGTGTATACAATTATTCTCTAAGAGAACATGTAAAGTTATCATCAAAATCTTCAGGCCAGATGTAGAAACACTTCTTGTTCTTACATATAGTTGATTTCGAAGCTATCATTGTTGGTTGAGAAAATTTGCACCGATCTGACGGTCGACAAGAACAGTTGCAGCAGTGCAACGGAAAGGATTTGAAAAATTTAACGTGGAATTTTGCGAGAATAAAAAAACACTTCCCACAACGCGCCGCCATTTAGATGCGGAACAGAAGATCGATGATGTACTGATGAAAGCTGTAGAAGCTCTCAGGTAGCATAGGATATGCTTGCAAGCTTAACACTCTTACACACAAGTTAATGAGGTCGAAGAGGTGTAACTTACAAAGATGAATGAAAATGTACACACAATGGCACGTAATTAGGCTTATATATAACTGACAGTTAGAAACCGCTTCCGGTAGGCGCAACTAGGATTGCGGGAAGCTGTTGGATCAGATCTGAAGGCTTAAGATGAGCACGTGGCTTGGTTCTGGTGAGCGTTTCTGGAGTTGTTGGATCAAACTCAGACAACTCTGATTTTAACTCTACCGAGCAATCTTGATCCAACAACTCCAAGAAGCAGTAGTATGCATTTCGAATTCGCCGAGTAATATTATATGTCTATGTTACTTGAAGAAACAAGTGATCAGAATGCTTATTTCCACCATTCAAAATAATAATTCACTGATACAGTAATTTAAAAGCTGTCTTTTGCAGTTGCAAGGGAGAGAATATGGAAACTTGATAGCTCACAAACTCATCCCTTCAATTTATTTTACTTTTCATCATTTATTCATTTCTATTTCTACATCTAGTGGGAGAGCTTCTACTTTACACATGCATCTTCCTCTATTCAACATAGCATTTTTCGTACCGATCCCAAAAGACGGGACAGAATGTTCCTTGCAATGCTTCTTCCGGCGCTTTATCGAAACCAGCTCATGAAATAACTACTGACCATTGTTTATATGACAGTTCCGTCTTCTATCGTTGCTTTCTCCATTATGATTGTGATTCCTGATCGGATGTAGAAACCATCTTCCGATCTATCTGCTTCTTGAACACCCTACAGATATAACATTCGAGTTTATAAGCGTGAACAAATGTATTATGGACAAGAAAACTACTAACTAATATTTATGCTTACGTCTTTGTTCGCGATAACGACGTCTTTCCCGATCTTTGCATTCTTGTCTATAATGCAGTTCCTTTAAGAAAGATAATAAATAACAAACTATGTGAGTTCACAATAGTGAATAGATTTGCTACGAAGAAATGCTAATCGGGACAATTACTTGATTTTGGTATTCCTTCCGATGCCAATCGGGACCTTCCCTTCTGCAAGTAGAGAAGCGATTTCGGATTCAGTTTGGTAATAGTCCGCTCCCATCATTACAGTGTCCTGTAAAACGCGATTTTGTTTTTAGTTAGGAAGAACCGTTTAATGGAGTAATGAGTCTAGAATATAAGGTAGTTTAATTACCTGAAGCTCAACGCCATAATCTAAACGCGATCTTTCACCGACAATGGAGTGTTGGATTGTACAATCTCTAAGGAAACATCCATGGGAGATGATAGCATCCACAACCTACCAAAACCAAAGCAACACAGACAGAATAAGAAAGTCATAACGTTACGACGAGTTATTAGCATATTACAAGATAGATAGATTATCGTACCCGAGAGTTGTCAAACTTTGTTGGTGGTAGGAATCCAGGAGATGTGAAAATCGGTGTCTTTGGATCATAAAACTCAAACTTTGGACTCTGCGAGAGAGTAACATATAGCAGATTTTAGTTTCAACCAACTAAACTAAACTGCACAGGAACACAGACAATTTCTTGAAGTTACCTCTTCCGTAAGAGCGAGGTTAGCATCGTAGAAGGATTTTATCGTTCCAATATCTTCCCAATAGTCTCCGAAAAAATATGCCTGCAAAAAAAGCATAGATTTTTTCATTGCTACCATTGTCATAGATTGCAGATAAAATTTTTGTAAGCAAATAGATTTATTGGAAATGCTCTTACTTGGACATTGTGTTCTTTTATAGCTGAAGGAATGATTTCGGATCCAAAGTCATTAGCTGTAGGATACCTCCATTTCAGAAGCTTGAGTAAAACATCTTTCTTGAATACATAAACTCCCATAGATGCAATATATGGTGACTTCAATGCATCTTGCGGTGACAACCCAACACGAGAAGTATCAACTTGCTGCAAAACGAGGATGATAAATCTCAGTGGAATTACCGATAACGAGAAAACAGAAAGAAGGTGCAAACATTATGTTATTATGTTGGGAATTACTTACCATTGCTTTGAGATCAGCGCCTTTAGGTTTTTCTGAAAATTGTATGATGTTGCCTCTTTCGTCTACCTTGACCAATCCATAATCCGATGCACGGCTGAAAAGGCGATGAAAATATTAATTTGTTTTCAATGAGTTGGTTGTTTCTATTCACTCATTCTAGAATGAAACAAAGTATAATACTCACTTGTCACCAACAGCAGCACAAGAAACTGTAATATCGGCATTTCTATCAACGTGACTCTGTCGATATGTTATATAGATATATCAGAAAAGTTTAGAACATCAATTGAAAAAACAATACACTCTACAAAACAATAACACTGTATACCTGCAAAAGGTCCATGTAATCCATTCGGTATAAATGATCTCCCGCCAAGATCAATACATTCTCGACGTTTATATTCTTGGCATCCTACGACAGAGAATCTATTACTTATCAACAAGCTCAAAAATGACAACAAAAGAGAATAAAGAATCTATTACTTATCGACATGTGTATACAACAACAACAACAAAAATCATTTGTCTACCTCAAATATCCAGGTAAATTGTCTCACAGCATCTGCAGTTCCTTGAAACCACTTCTTTCCAGCTTCTCCTGGCGTTTGTGTCGCCGCCAGAACCTATTTGACATTTAGATTTACTTTAATTAGTACTCATGAATCATAAATAGAAACAAACTT